CAGAGGGTGTACTCCCACGACGGTCGGCGACGTGCACGAGGGACCCTTTCCTCGGGTGTCGCCAGCCGTGCCCCCTGGCCCGAGGTGCCCCCCCAGGATCTCCAGGGAGGCCCCCCCGCGGCCTCCAGAGCACCCCCCCCTCACGAGGCCCAGAGGGCCCCAGGGGCCCCCAAACGGAGCGAAGACCTGGGGGCCACCCAGGGTGGACAAGCGCGTTCCACTACTCGCAAGTCAACCACTCGCCAGTGGCCTGGATCCGCCGCGGGGGATGTACGATGCATTACATCGCGGAAGGCCTGACTTTTTTTTCTGACGTTTGCGAGTAGGCACTTCGCGAGTAGTGAAACGCGCTCGGCGCTTGGGCCAGGGGCGACCTTTTCGGCAGCCCCCGAACCCCGGGCAAGAGCGACCCCTGGCGCGCGGGGCCTGCCCACCGAGGCCACGCTGCGACGGCGGCGGCCCGCGTGCCGGAAGGCTTTGCGGCCTCCCCCGCGCTGCCCCGTGAGCCGCGCACGCCCACGCAGAGGCCACCGCAAGAGTGCGCTCCACGACTCGCAGAGCAGCTGCTCGCACATGACCTCAGGTCGGGCCTGTTCCCCCTTGGGGGGGGGGGTGGACGAAGAGTGCCAAAACAATGTAAAAACATACCCCCCAGAGGCTCAAAAATGGTCCAGAGATCGTCCCCAGGCTACTTTTTGACTACTTTGGGATATTCCCCCTGTAGAGGGACAGCAGGCCCGACTGAACAACGCAAATAGCTTGGATCCGCCGCAGGGGACTTGCGCTACATCACACGGGGGCAGACGCATGGTCTTTGGGACGTTTGCGAGAGCAGGCCACCTTGCGAGAGCAGCGGAGCGCGCCAGGGCGAGCCACTCCGACGCAGGGTCTAGACTCTAGACGAGGAAGCACCGGCACAAGCATAAGCTTTTGGCGCTCCGCGCGGAGCGCCAGAAGTCTGTTTTCGTGGCGTGCCTCTTCTCCTCGATCCGACGAAGGGTCACCCCTGCGTGTCGCCGAGACGGGTGCCGGGACGTCCAGGTGGCCATCATCTCCCGGCACGCCTCGGGGATCGGGCGGGGGCCCAGCCACACCTGGTGGATCTTCAGTGGGATCGTTGGCGCCTCCCGCTCCGGGGCCGCGGCGGCCGCCGGCCAGAGCTCCGACGCGGCGCCGTACCTGGGGGAGCCAAAAGGTACAGTCGGACCTCCGCTTGTGGATGCCATGACAATGGACATTCTAACAGTCCTATCATTGAATTAAAGATGTGTTTAAAGTGTGTAAGGCATGGTCTAAAAATGTTTCAGGCATGTTATGACATATTTACAACATGTTTGAAACATGTTTTAGGCATCTGGAAATTATTTGGCAGCATGTTTCCTCTCCGTTAATCGACTTCCACAAACCTAAGCCAGAAGAACAGCCCTCGAGAACACGAGACCCTCTGTCGGCCCAGACGGCCAGAGCATCCAAGGGCACCCTCCCCAGGATGCACAAGGCCATCCACCAAGCACGAAGATAGGGGGCCACATGCGAATCCTACCCCTCCCCCCCACGATTTCTGAGGGGGAGGGTGGGGTTCACTTCGCTCGGAAGCCCCCGAGCGAAGTGAACCCCACCCCACCCCCCTCAGAAATCGTGGGGGGCAGGGGGTAGTGACCACGATGGAAACCACCGCAACCGCAAGTTCACAAAAAGATTCCAGGACGGGCGCAATCCCAAATTTAAATGGCAGCGCTTCGCACTTGCACTCACGGTTCACTCTGCACTGCGCGCAGCGCATGCAATTACACGCGCCTTCGCCTTGCAAACATCACCCCAGGAACCATCTTAATAACACCAAAGGTGACCTGTGGGACCTGCGGGACCTGTGGAACCTGCCGGAATTGGGAGAAATGTTGGGAGCGTGAGCCCTGTGGAACTTGTGGGAGCTGTGCGGGCTGCGGTAGCTGTGGGACCTGAGGGACCTGCGAGACCTGTGGGGCCCTTGGGACCTGTGGGACGCGTGAGCCTGGTGGGACCTGTGGGGCCTTCGAAATTGCAAAACTTGTCGTCCCTGCGAGACCTGTGGGACCTGTGGGACCTGCGGGGCTTGCGCCACCTGCGACACCTGCCTGACCTGTCGGACCTGTAGGACCTGAGGGACTCGTAAGACCTGTGGGACCTGCAGGACCTGCGATACCAGTGGGACCTGTGGCGCCTGTGGCACCTGTAGGCCCCGTGGGACCTGCGGAACTTGCGGGGCCTGCGGGACCGGCGCGACATGTGGGACCTGTGGGACCTGTGGGACCGGAGGGGCTGGGTGGACCTGTGGGGCCTGTGGGACCTGTAGGGCCTGAGGGGCCTGTGGGGCATGCGTCGCCTGTGGGACGTGTGGGACATGCGGGACCTGCGCGACCTGCGAAACCTGTGGGACCTGCGGGTCCTGCGGAACCTGCGGGACCTGCGAACCCCGTGGCCCTTGTAGGACCTGTAAGCCCTATCGGGCCTGTGGGACCTGTGGGGCCTTCGGGGCATGTGGGACCTGGGGGGACTGGGACTTGCGGGGCCTGCGGGACTTGCCAGACCTACGAGGCCTGCGGGGCTTGCGGGACTTGTAGGACCTGTGGGACATGTGGGGCATGTGGGACTTGTGGGACATGTGGGATATGCTGGGCCTGCGGGATTTGTGGGACCTGCGCGACCTGCGGGACTTGTGGGACTCGTGGGACCTGTGCTGGCGGCGGGACCTGTCGCACCTGCGGGACCTGTCGGCCCCGGGGGGGCTGTGGGACCTGTGGGACCTGAGGGACCTGGGAGACCTGCGGAACCTGTGGGACCTGTGAGAGCTGCGGGACCTGCGGGACATGTGCGACCGGTGGACCTGCGAGAACCTGTGAAACCTGTGGGGTCATTCATACCTGTGGGACCTGTGGCACCTGCGGACCTGCGGGACCTGCGGGTCCTGTGGGACCTGTTGGACCTATGGGTCCTCTGGGACCTACGGGACCTGTGGGAATTGCGGGACATGCGGGACCTGCGAGACCTTTAAAACCTGTAAGACCCGTGGGGCCTGCGGAACCTGTGGGACGTGCGGGACCTGCATGTGGGACCTGTGGGACCTGCGGGGCCTGCGGGGCCTATGGAGTATGCGGGACTGGCGGGTCCTGCGCGACCTGCGAGACCTGTGGGACCTACGGACCCTGTGGATCCTGTGGGGCCTGCGGGACCTGTGGGGCTTGTGGGACCTGTAGGACCTGTGGGACCTGTGGGACCCAGTGGGACCTGCGGGACCTGCGGGGCCTGCGGGGCCTGCGGGACCTGCGAGACCTGCGCGACACGCGGGACCTGCGGAACCTGTGGAACCTATGGAACATGCGAAACATGTGGGACCTGTGGGGCCTGTGGGACCTGTGGGGCCCGCGAAGCCTGTGGGACCCTTGGGACCTGTGGGACGTGTGGGACCTGTAGGACCTGCGAGACCTGTGGGACCTTTGACACCTTCTTTGCGACTTGTGGGTCCTGTGGGACCTGTAAGACCTGTAAGACCTGTGGGACCTGTGGGACCTGCGGGACCTGTGACACCTGCAAGACCTTGGGACCGGTGGGATCTGTTGGGCCTGAGGGACCTGTGGGACCTGTGGGGCCTGCGGGACCTGCGGGACCTCCGGGACCTGTGGCACCTGTGGCACCTGTGCGGCCTGTGGGACCTGCGGGACCTGCGGGACCTGCGGGACCGGCGAGACCTTCGAGACCTGCGGGGCCCGTGGGACCTATGGGACCTGTGGGACATCTGGGACACGTGGGACCTGTGGAACCTGTGGGACCTGTGACCGCCGAGGACCCAAATAAGGCCCTGAATTCTGGGACCGCCAGGCACCCAAGTAAGGACCTTACTTGGGCCCCCGGGAATTCCTTATTAAATTTGGTGGATCGACAGATGTCTCGCACTTTGGGACCATCGAGGCCCCCCGGGGGGCATTTATTAAGGAACCAGAAGTTCCCTTACGTCCAGCATGTTTTCTTGGAGCGGAAAGACCCAAAGTTCAAACGTCCTGGCGTGGCCGTCGGAGGCCCCCAACCAGCCACCCAGCTTGGAAACGCGCGGCAAATTTTTCGCCGAGGCTGAACGCGACTCTGCTGCCGTCGCCACCGTAGCTGCACTGCATCCGGTGATCCACTGGCCTCAGGGCCCCGAAGAGTAAGCCTCCTAGCGGTGTCCTGACGACCTCCTGGAATCTGGGGGGAGACCGCCGGGGGACCTCCCCTGGTCCTCTTGGGGGCCTCCCGCAAACTTCCAGAAGGGGGCTGGGAGGTCTCCCAGAAGCTTTTTCTGGTCCTTGCAAGCCTGCTGGGAATCCTCCCCGAGGACCAGGGTCCGGGAGCCTCCCCCAGACCTCGAAATCTGGCAGGGCTCCCTCCAAGGGGAAACTTCCGGGGAGACCAGGGGAGGCCCCCTGGAAACCTCCCCTGGTCCTCCCGGGCCGCTGGGGGGAAACTTGGTGGAGGACCAGGTGAGGTCTCCTGGAAGCTTCCCCTGGTCCTCCCGAAAGCCTCCCACAGGAGACCTCCCCCCTGCGGGAACTCTCATCGGAGGTTTCCAGGTGAACCAGGGGAAGCCTCCCAGAGACCTCCCCTGGTCGTCCCGGAAGCCTGGGGGAGGCCTCGCCTGGTGCTCCCAGGGGCCGTCGGAAGCCTCAGGCCACACCTTGTGGAAACCAAGGGAAGCCTCCGGAAGGCCTCCCCAAGCCATCGGGGGGATCAGGGAGAGGTCTCCAGGAGAACCAGAGGAAGTCTGGTGGAGGCCCCCTCCACCTCGCCGGAGAGGGGGCCCGCTGGGAGGTCTGGTCGACGTGGAAGGGGGGCATCCCACCAGACCTGTTGGAGGTGGAGGGGAGGTCTGGTACCAGACCTAGTGAGGTTGGGGGTAACTGAAGACCAACCCAGGCAAAGCAAGAAAACCAGCATGGAGGCGAACGCGGCCCAAGACGGCACCAAGATACCCCCCAGGCAACTCACGACGGCCCAAGAGGGCCCCTAATGTCCCAGGTAGCCCCATATACGACTCAAGAGTGTCCCAGGAGGCCCCCATGACAACCCGACAGTAACCCATGACATACCACATGTTGTCCATGTGTGCCACGTGAGAACCCCAGGAGACGCAATAATGAGACAAGGAGAACGAAATGGAAGAAGGGAGGGTGACAACATGGGGGACGTGGGAAGGGGGAGGGCGACGACGTAGACGAAGGAGTGCGCCCCGAAGCGGCGCGGAAGAGCGCGTCACATGTTGCGGCCCTTGCAAGGCTATGGGCGACGACATGTCGCGCGTTATGGCTTTCGTGGCGGTGCTCGAAGACTCGCCACGCCGAGTGCTGCGCGGTCGCGGTGCGCGGGACTTGCCGCGAACAGATCGGCATGACGCACGCGCCGTGGTTTCTACCACAACCGCGCGACGCGTATGATTTGTCAACAATGTCGCGCCCTCCACGAGCGGGCCGGGCCCTCCACTTTGAGACGTGCGCAATTAAACACCATCAAAACATAATGCGAATGGACGAGGGGGAAAGCAACCAGAAGAGGTCGCGCGAAAGGTGGACAACAAATGAACAATGCTCACAAAAAATCACATGCGCAAGCGCCCAACGAAACAAACTTATAAACACTCCAACAATTTGGCGTGCCGCGAAAAAGGGAAAAGGGGCGGGGGGCCCGCGTGCCCACGAGGAACAAACTTAACGGCATGGTAATCGCTACTGGACACGCCGTCACGCAGAGCCGCTCTGACAACACACACGCACACGGGCGCACTATCGCGCAAAAGCGGCCGAACCACGCCGCGCGAAGCATCGCTGCGCCAAGGCGATCCGCCCATGCAAAACACGCGCAAATGGCATCCGAAAAGAGCGTTACGCGCCGCGCAAAAAAATATGGCGCGGTGCCGCAACAATCAGGCGGCTACGAATGTAAACTCCTCTGAACTGCGCGCACGCGCGTCGTGTTAAACAGGCCGCGCCGCGCAGGCACGCCACTCGGTCTCGCACCAGCACGTCGAAGGGAAGGTCTGCGGGAGACGCTCTGCAAGTGGCAATGAAGCAACCCCACGAGAACGCGATACATGTGAAATCGAAGCACGTGCCAACAGTAACCGCGACAACAGAACAACCAACAAAAAATCATTTTAAAGAAACATCCAAAAATTCTGGTTGCGGTGGTTTCTTGCGCGGTCAGGTAGGGCTCGCATGTGGCCCCCTATAAGAACATGTGGGCAGCCTCCCCGAACCGACCCCGATGCCGCGCCTCGGGCTCCAACCGTGCCCACCACCACCACCACCACCACCACCACCACCACCACCACCACCACCACCACCACCACCATATAAGTTGGAGTGGGAGGAGGTGGAGGAGGAGGAGGAGGAGGAGGAGGAGGAGGAGGAGGAGGAGGGAGGAGGAGAGAGGGAGGGAGGGAGGACAGCCCCGGGTCGACCAGATCCTCGAGGCGAGGGCAGCCGAGGCGACGCGGGCTCCACCATGCACGAGCTCCGAGGAGAGGCCGGCGGGTGGCGGCGAGGGCTCTCCGCCACGAGCAGGGTCTCCAAGAGGTTCTCCAGGAGAGCCCGACGAGGCCAAAATCCTTGACTTGCCTTAGGCCTCAGGCCCGACGAGGCCAACAGCATTCCCGAGGAACGCCCGACGAGGCCAACCTCGTTGACATCCTGTGGCAGCTGCTTCTTTCCGGCCTTCCGAGGGCCCAGGGACGGCCCAAGAAGGAGGCCCCCCAGAGGTCTCCCAAGAGGCCCTCCAGGAGAGCCCGACGGCGGCATCCCAGACCCCCGACGTCATGATTTTTTCATTACGCGACCCCCAGAGGTCCGGACCTATTCGCCGGGACCGGTTTCTCATCCCGAGTCGTTTTTTGACGGTCCCGAGGGCCGGTAAGGGGTAAGGGCCCCCAGAGGCCGAAAATAGCGAAAAACCTCCCGTCGTGATTTTTTCATGACTCGAGGGGGTCTGGGATGGGTGCCTCGCCCCCCCCTCCGCCGAGGCGCCAGGCGGCGTCGCTGGGGCTCCAGAGCCCCCACCGCCAGGAGCCGGCCAGCAGCGCAGCCTCCTCGCCGAAGCCGCCCGCGGCGCCGCCCGCGGCGCCCGCCTCCGCGTCGGCGGCGCCGGGCGCCATGCGCCGAAGGCCCGGGGCTCTGAGGGCGCGGGGGGCCCGGGAGGTGCCGGGGCCAGGGCGACTACGGAGGCTATAGGAGGCGATGCCGCTGCCGGGGTCGCCCTCCTCGGGTCCCCGGGAGGTGCCGGGGCGAGGGCGGGGGCCCGGCCGGGGCGAGGGCGGGGGCCCGGGAGGTGCTGGGGCCAGGGCGACTGCGGAGGCTATAGGAGGCGATGCCGCTGCCGGGGTCGCCCTCTCGAGGGTCCCCGGGAGGCTCCTCGTCGACGCGGCTGCCACCTCCTCCTTCTTCTTCTCCTCCTCCTCCTCTTCCTCCTCCTCTTCCTCCTCCTCCTCCTCTTCCATCCTCCTTCTATTCCTTCATCCAATCCTCCTCTTCTCTCCTCCCCCTCCTCCTCCTCCTCCTCCTCCTCCTCCTCCTCCTCGTCCTCCTCCTCCTCCTCCTCCTCCTCCTCCTCCTCATCTTCCTCTTCCTCCTCCTCGTCCCCCTGCTCTCCATCCCGGTTCGCCTCCTCCTTTTCCTCGTCTGCTCGTCCTCCTTCTCTTCCTGGGCATCCTTTTCCTCGTCTCCTCGTCGTCCTCCTCCTCCTCCTCCTCCTCCTCATCTTCCTCATTTCCCTCCACCCATTGTCCTTACACATAACTCCTCATAACTCCCCCCTGTCGCACCCCGAGACGTGTCGTTAGGGCGGGCAGGGCGTTTCGTCTGAGAACTCCTCACTATTATGATCCTCAAGTGTCAAGTTGGCCACACTATCACGGATGGAGGGCGGGCCATTTTCAAGACGTGGCTCTCGCAGTAGCGCCGCGCACATTCGTCTTGAGGTGTCGCCGGAGGTTTCTCTGAGGCAGGGCGGGTGATTTTCAAAGTGTTGCTCTCGCCTAAGCGCCGCGCGCTTTCGTCTTTCAGAGTTAGCCAGAGTTGCACGGATACGGAGGGCGAGTAGTATTCAAGATGTGGCTCTCGCCTTGTCGCCGCGCACTTTCGTTTCTCAGCAACTGGCAGAAGTGTTTCACGGACGCAGGGCGGTACCTGTTCAACCTGTGGCTCTCGCCGGAGGCACCGCACACACTCGTTTTTTTAGTTTTTGCAGCAGTTTCGAGGATTCTGAAGGCTGACGTCCCAGAAACGGCGTTTTGGCACGATGCAGGACTGTCAGGGCGCAACAGTTGCATTGACTCGCGGTGTTGAACTCCTAGGAATTGTGTCGTGGCACGGTTCAGGACTTTCAGACGGTTGTCTTCCAACGGGGCACTTCCTTCAGACCAGGACGAACCCTCGTAGGAACCTGTGAAGAGGCAACTTGGAGGGAGTTAGTATTGCAACATCGTTGATGGATCTTGGGTGTACCCTGATCCTCCTCCTCCTCTTCTTCCTCCTGCTCCTCCTCCCACTGGCTGTCCCAAGCCTGCCTCAGATCTGGCTCCCCATCTCTCTCCTGCTTCTGCTGCTGCTGCTTCTGGTCGACCCGTCTTTCCCTCCCCCTCCATGTTTCAACCCTCCTCCAGGCCTTTGACAGCTCCGGAAGCCACTCAACAATATCCTCCTCATCCGCACCCTCATCGTCGTCCTCCTCTTCTTACTTTTGCCCCTTTTCCCACTCCTCCTGCTGCTCTTCCTCCTCCTCCTCCTCCTCCTCCTCCTCCATATCCTTCTCCGCCTCCTCCACCACCACCTCCTCCTCCTGCTTCTCCTCCTCCTCCTCCTCCTCCTCCTCCTCATCATCATCATCATCACCATCATCATCACCTTCATTATCATCATCAAAATCACTATCATCAGCAGCATCAGCATCATCATCAGCATCAACATCATCATCAGCAGCAGCAGCATCATCATCACCATCACCATCATTACCGTCATCATCCTCATCATCATCATCCTCATCCTCATCCTCATCCTCATCATCATCATCATCATCACCATCACCATCACCGTCATCAACATCAGCAGCAGCATAATGACCATTGCCATGATTAGAATAATAATCACCAGCATCAGCATCATCAGTATCATTACCAGTATCACTATCATCATCATCGTCATCATCACCCTCATCATCATCATCATCAACATCATCATCAGCATCATCTTCATCAGCAGCATCACCATCGTCATCATCATCATCATCATCATCATCATCATCATCATCATCATCATCATCAGTATCATCATCAGCATGATCACCGTCGTCATATTCGTCATCGCCATCATCTGCACCATCATCATCAACATCCTCATCATTATCAGCATCTTCTCCGCACGCATCAGCATAATCGTCATCATGATCATCATCCACCTACTCCCCATCATCAACATCCGAACCATACTCATCATTATCAGCATCATGAGCAGCATCATCATCATACTCACCACCACCACCATTCACAGCATCATCATCATCACCATCATCATCACCACCATCATAAGCAACAGCAACATAAGCATCATCATCATCAGCATCAGCATTAGCATCAGCATCATCATCAGAAACAAAAACATCATCATAATCAGCATCGGCATCAGCATTATCATCCAGATCCGCATTCTCATCCTCAATATCCTCTCCATAATCATCACCAGCACCATCATCATCATAATCATCGTCATCATCACCATCATCATCATCAGCACCACCCGAAGCATCATCATCATCATCATCATCATCATCATCAGCATCATCGTCGTCATCGGCATTGGCGTCAGCATCATCATCATTATCATCAGCAGCAGCAGCATCAGCATCAACAACCACATCATCATCAACACCGACACCATCATCATCAAGATCATCGTCAATACCATCCTTATGATGCGTCTCCTCCTCTTCCTCATTCTCCTCATTCTTCTACCCCATTCTCCCCATCATCATCGCTCTCCTCATCATCACCCGTCTCCTTCGTCTCGTTGCCTTCGTCATCCTTCAAAATCTCCCTCTTCTCCCCATCCACCTTCTCCCCCTCTCCTCCCGCTCCCCCTCTCCCTCTCCCTCGTCCTCCTCCCTCGTCCTCCTAGTCCTCTCTACCCCCCTCCCCCCCTCCCTCGTCCTCCTAGCCCTCCTCATTCTCCTCCTCCCCCCCGGAGCGGCCCGCCTGGCTTTCTCGCCAGGCCTCCGCAGCAGCTTGTGCTCGACCAGGACCTGGCGCCCGCGGGCACCGACCCGAGCTCGTCACCCTGCTGGCTCCTCGTTGCCCCCCCTCCTCCTCCCCCTCTCCCTCGTCATCACCACCGCCAACAAGATCTTCATCACCACCACCATCGTCAGCATCGACGTCATCATCAGCATCCGCACCAGCATCAGCATCAGCACCATCACAATTATCATCACCAACATCAGCATTATCATCATCATCATCACCACCATAATCAGCATCATCATCATTATTATCATCATCATTATCATCACCAGCATTATCAGCATCATCATCAGCATCATCATCAGCAGCATCACCACTGCCATGATCATAATCATAATCATCAACATCATCAACATCATCATCATCATCATCATCATCATCATCATCATCATCATCATCATCATCATCATCATCTTCAGCAGCATCATCATCATCAGCAGCATCAGCATCATCAGCATCATCATCGTCATCATCACCATCATCATCATCGGCGGCGACGTCGTCGGCGTCGTCAGCAGCAGCAGCATCAGCATAAGCATCGGCGGCGGCAGCGGCACTGCTCCTCCTCTTGCTCCTCGTCCTCCTCCTCCCGCCCTTCGTCCTCCTCCTTCTCCTCCTCGGCGTCCTCCCCCCCTTCATCCTCATCCTCCTCCGCCTCCCCCTCCTCCTCCAACTCCTCCCCTCTTCTCTCTCGTCTCCTGTCCTTTCCTCTCCTCTCATGTCCTATCCTCTCCCCTCTTATCCTGCTCCTGCTCTTGCTCCTGCTCCTGCTCCTGCTCCTGCCCCTGCTCCTGCTCCTCCTCCTCCTCCTCCTGCTCCTCCTCCTCCTCCTCCGCTTCCTCCTCCTCCTCTTCCACCTCCTGCTTCTCATCCTCCTTTTCCTTCCCTCCGCTCCTCCCCTCTCCTCCCCTCCCCTCCTCTTGAAGCAACCAAAGACAGCCGAACTGATCCTGCTTCGAGCGATCCCCACCGAAACTTTCGGCCTCTGTTGCCGACGCGGCGCGCGCCTGCTGGAGCGATGCGCGCGGGGCCCGGTTGTCTCGGCCAGCGCGGCGGTCGGGCCAGGTCGCCAGTTGCCGGTGGCCGAAGTTCTAGCAGCTCCGGAGCCCCGACGAAAGGAAACCGAGGCAAGCCCTGGGGCGAGAAGCCAAACAACAAAACGTGTGCTGCGAAACCCCAAAATTGATTCGGATCGAATCTGCAGCCGGTTGACAGAAAAGAGGAGGAGAGGACCAGCAGCAGCATGAGGAGGAGGAGCAGCAGCAGCATGAGGAGGAGGAGCAGGAGTTCGTCTTCACTTTTGATTTCTCTTCTGTTGAAATATGTTGTGTTATGCTTACCTCTGTCAAAGTTTGATTTAATATGGTATGTGGTGCTCTGCTCTGTGGCACCATGTTATGACATGTCATGTCAAGCTATGCCATACGATGATCTGTTCAATGATGCTGCTTCCGTTGTGGTCAGATCGTAAAAAGTTATCATGGCATGCTCCGTAATGATATGGTATGTGTTGTTATGTCGTGATGCTCCTCTTGAGTAATGTCGTTGCTGTGTTCAACAGTATTTAACTATGTTCCCTGTAGTGACGTTTGATGATGACATGCTCTATTCTGTCCTGCTCTGTTATCGACGAGTCGGCGTGACGTCGTGGCGCCTGTCACGTTAGACACGTCGTCCAATCGGTCGTTGCTGCGCCTGTTGGTTAATGTGGCCAGCTCTACCTCTGCGCGCACGTCGTGTTCGATTACTTCACGATACGGTGTATCATATGATGATGCTCCTCTTCGCTTTTGTTCTTATGATGTTAAAATGTGCTCTGTTATGTTCCCCTCTCACATTATGCTTCGATATGTTACGCTGCGATGTGCTATGCTGCCGTACGCTATGACATTACATAGCATGCCACGTTATCTGCGTTATGCTCTGTTCAGTGATGCTGTATACGCGGTGCTCGGTTCATTATCGTATTTGATGCGCTGCCCTCTTATGACATACATCTTAATGCAGGTAGTGCCTATATTGTTATAGCAAGCTCGCTGTCGTACTGGTAGCAGTAGTGCAACAACAATGTTATGTTATGCTGGCTACGTTGTAATCTGTCTACTACATGATGTTATGTCTGTTATGCCATGATATCCCTCTGAAGTCTTTTAACGTCCGTGATGCATAGAAAGCTCGTTGTCGCCATGGCAGCAACAGAAAACATGCCTAGTATGTTATCTTCTGAAACGTGATGATGTACTCTTGTATGCTCCGACATGTAATGGTAAGGGTTGATGTGTTACGTTATGGTCCATGCTGCGTTATGGCATGCTTTGTCCCGTCGTGACATGTATGTCTATGCTATGATATGCTATGCTACGCTCTGCTATGCCATAATATGTTACGCCACGCTCTGGCATCGCATGTTTTGGCATGGGTTGGGGTGCTCTGTGCGGTGATGCTGTGTTAGTTTATGTTATGATATTTCATGATATGGCGATGGTATGTCACATGATGTCACGGTGTGTGATGTTATGTTATGTTATCTTATGGTATGGTGTGTGGTGTTATGCCCTGTTTGTTATGCTCCACTGTGTCATTGCATGCGCTAGTATACTTTGTTACTATATGTTATGTCATGCTATGATATGGCATGATATGGCATGGTATTGTGTCTGCTCTATGATGTGCTGCTCATGTATAAAAAGTTATGCCGCACTCTGTCATGGTATGCTTTGTCATGGTCTGTATCAATCGGTTATGTGATGCTGTGTTGTGTCATGATACGCTGGGTCATGGTATACTATGATATGTTGAAGTAGTGCAGTATATTACATGCTACTGTATGATGTAAGATGGCATGCTATGGTAGGTATGATCCGCGTTGTTATTGTATGTAGTGTTAGAATGTGCTATGCGATTTTCATTTCTGTCATGCCACACTATGGTCTGCGCTGGCACCGTATTATGATATGATATGCTAACTTGTAATATGCGATGCCACGGTGTGTCAAGATATGACTTGCCATGTTATGCAAACATATTGTGTATGATGTTGCGCTGCCGTGTTATATGCCCTTTTCGTATGCGATGGTGTGCCCAATTATGTTATGCCAAATTGTGTCGCGCTATGCGATAGTACGTTATGATGCGTGGTGCTATGCTCCATTATGTCAGGCTCTATCGTGCTTGTCGAAGGGGCGAGGCGGGGTCTCCGGTGGACCTGGGGACCTGGCGGCCGCGGTATGCAGTTCAGGCGGGCTGGGAGGCTCTTTCCTAAAATCTGACGGCGCCAACCTGTCAGGTGGAGAACCAGTCGCATCATCCCCTCGTCATACCCCTCCCCCATGATCCTCCTCCTCCTCCTCCGATATGTTTCTCATTATCCTCCCTCCTCCTTCCTTCTCTTGATCTCCAATTCCTCTGTATTCCTCCTCATCCTCCTCCTGCTTCCTCCTCCTCCTCCTCGTCCTCCTCCTCCTCCTCCTCCTCCTCCCCCTTTTCCTCCTCTTCCTCCTCCTCCTCCTCTTCCTCTTCCTCCTCCTCCTCCTCGTCCTCGTCCTCCTCCTCCTCCTCCTCCTCTTCCTCCTCCTCCTCCTCCCACCAATAATCTGCGAGTGAATTGAGATCGTTCTGCGAACCCCCTTCTTCCCCTTCAGGGAGGGCGGTTCCCCTCCTCTCCCCCTTCCCCCTGGGTCTGGAAGAGGCAGTCTGCGAGGGATTGGAGCGTCCAAAATGGCCCAAGATGGCTTCAAAAGGGCCCCAGAGAGATCAAGACGGCCTCCAACATCGCTGAAGATAACGCACGATGGTTCAGGATAACTTCCAACATGCATCCTCGAGCCTTCCACACCGTCCCAGGACGGCTACAAGTGCCTTCCGAGCCTCCCAAGGAGGCCCCCAGAGGCCCCAATCCGTCCCAAACCTAAGGACAAAGAGAATTTGTTGCTCCTGCCGATGGGCTCTTGAGGCCTCTAGATGGCTCCAGGATGGCCCAAGAGGGTTTCAACAGCGGCCCAACAGCGCCCAAGACTGGCCCAAGAGCGCTCCAAGAGGGCCCCTAGAGGCGACTTTCAAGCTCCGACGAGGGGGGGATACTTATGACCCCCCCTCTGCGACCGATATTTCCCAAAATCGCCCCAAGAGGACCCCCAAGTCTCCGCACGACATGCACAGCACCAGGATGTTTGCGTCTTAGCTGCTCGAAGAAAAAATTGTAGAAGCAAGGGCGCCGACACGACGGCCAGCCTAATCAGTGCGTGCTCGAGAAACGAGCAGCCCCTCGACATCAGTTGCGCCGCCAAGAGAGGCCCAAGAGGGCCCCAAGAGGCTCTCAAGATGGGCCCCGGAGACCCCCCAGAGGAGATCCAAGAACGCGACAGAGGCTTCCAAAATGGCCGCACGATGACCCCAAGAGGTCCCCAGTGCGTGACTGTATGTTGCTGCACACCCCTGCTCGCGGCAACTCGCCTGGCGATTGGCTCGCGGCTCTGGATGGAATTTTCTGGTCCGCGGGAGCACGAAGCGAGTCGGACGCCGAGCAAGCAGGGGCAGGCTGTGCCACCCGCGAGGGCAAAGACAGAGCAGAGAGCGAAGCCCTCCGTGCGGAGCCCTGCGCGCGGCACGCCGTGGCGAGAGGAGCCCGCGCGGGCGGAGCGCGCGGAGCGTCAAGGCTCCGCTGGATGGGTCCCCGGAGGCCTTCGGAGGCCCAGGCGCGGCTCCCCAAGGACACAAGAACACCATCCCCGATCTTCGGACTCCCAATCATCGACGGCGACGGCGACAACGACCACGGCGGCCACGACCACGGCGGCCACGACAACAACGACGAAGACGGCGACGGCGACGGCGACGACGACGACGACAGCGGCGGCGGCGGCGACGACGACGACGGCGACGACGGCGGCGGCCACGGCGACGGCGACGGCGGAGGAAGACGACGACGACGACGGCGACGGCGGCGGCGGCGACGACTACGACGACGACGTTGACGACGACGACGACGACGACGACGACGACGACGACGACGACGACCACGGCGGCGGCGGCGGCGGTTGCGGCGGCGGCGGCGGCAGCTTGCGGCGACGAAGTCGACGATCACAACGACGGCCGCGGCTGCGACGACGGTGACGACGCCGCCGCCGGTACCGACGCCCTCCGAGCTGCTGACTGGGCCGCCGCCGAAGGCCGCCGAAGGCCGCCGAAGGCCTGCGGCGGCGGCGACTCGGAACGACGGCATCGACGCCAGACCCTCAGAGCCTGCAGCCCGCTGGGGCCGAGCCGGTCCGCGAGGCTGCGGCGCAGCCCGGACTTGCTGGAGCGGCGCCTCCTTGCCTCCTCGCGCGGAGGGGTCGTCGTCGTCGTAGTCGTCGCCGTCGTCGTGGTCGTCGTGGTCGTCGTGGCCGTCGTCGTCGTCGTCGTCGTGGTCGTCGTCGTCATCGTCGTTATCGTCGTCGTCGTCGTGGTCGTCGTGGTCGTCGTGGCCGTCGTGGCCGTCGTCGTGGTTGTCGTGGCCGTCGTCGTCGTCGTTCTCGTCGTCGTCGTCGTTGTCGTCGTGGTCGTCGTGGTCGTCGTGGTCGTCGTGGCCGTCGTCGTCGACGTCGTCGTCGTGGTCGTGGTCGTCGTCGTCGTCGTGGTCGTCGTCGTGGTCGTCGTCGTCGTCGTCGTCGTCGTCGTCGACATCGACGACGACACGGCAACCTCGGAGGGCCGGTCGAGACGGCGGCGGCCATCCCGAGCGTAATTAGCGCTTGTCGTCGTTTTTTGGCCTCCTGGAAGCCATTCGTCGACACGTCGTTCTTGGCCTCCTGGAAGCCTCCTGGAAGCCTCGTTTTTTGGCCTCCTGGAAGCCATCCCGAGCGTAGCGCTTGTCGTCGTTTTTTGGCCATTCGGCTAGGTCCACGTCGACAAAGGGGTCGGGATGGACGCTGGAGGGAGCTGTGGACCGCCTCTGAACAAACTTCGGCTGGGCAGGAAGTCGTCGTCGCTGTGATCGTCGTCGTCGTCGTCGGAACAGGAGGAGGAGGAGGAGGAGGAGGCGGAGGAGGAGGAGGCGGAGGAGGAGGAGGGGGAGGAGAGCGAAGGAGGTAGTAGTGGTGAGTGGAAGAAGGAGCAGAGATAGGAAGAATAGCGAGGAATGAGAGACAGAGAGACGGAGAGGAGGAGTTGAGGAGGAGGAGTGCAGTGAGGAGGAGGAGGATGTTTGTATACTTTCTCGCACCGTCTCCTTTGTACAAAGTAGCCCCCCTTACAAAGCTTTGCTATCGAAGCAATCCCTCTCCTCGTGCCCCTCCACCGCCCCCGCCTCCTCCCCAATCCCTCCTCCTCTCCCAATCCCTCCTCCTCTCCCAATCGCTCCCCCTCCCTCCTCCTCCTCTCCCAATCCCTCTTACCCACCCTCTCTCCTCCTGCATCCCTCTTCTATATGACCTTATCCCCCCTGTCGCACCCACAGACGTGTCCGTCGGACGGGTAAGGCGTTGGTATGATACTTCCGTGCAACTCACAACCACACCGAAATTTAAAACATCCAACTGTCACACGAATGGAGGGCCTGTGGTTTTTCAAATGGGCAGCTCCGTACACAGTCGCCTTGGAAGCATGCAACAGCTACCAGAAGGGAGGGCTTGTGCTTTTCGAAATCCGCCGACCCTGTCGTTGTCTGCCTCCGCTTGGCTTAGGGGAACAAGAAGTGACTAAAACAAAAAAAACTCGAAGTCCGCGCAGATTTCTCGATCGGCGCTGGGCCCCCTCCCCTGGCCCGCGAGCGCGCCAGGGGGCGGCGCCCAGGCGCCGCCGGGGACCCACGCGATCCAGAAATCCCGCGGAGCTCCGAATTTTTATGTTCAGGGAATTTTTGTTACCCACCGTCGGCCCTGGCCGACGAGCAGCTCAATTGTAGGGACAGAAACCAGCACAAACAGGAGCCGTCGGCGCTCTGCGCGAACTTCTGGGGTCTGCGCTGGACCCCAGGGGGCCCCCTCCTTGGCGCGCGGAGCGCGCCAGGGGCGGCGCGGGAGGCGCCGCCAGGAAGGGGGGAGGCGCCGCCAAGGTCGACGAGCTGGAGGAACAACAAACGGCATAAATGGACCAGCAAAAAAAAGGCACCACCCCACCGACGGCCCCCACGGGCCGTAGCGTATGCCAGGAGATCTGGCGTGGGTTTTTTTGAATGGTGTACGCTACGGCGCCCGATGGGCCGTGGCGCAGCATGGAGGGCCGCAGGTGGGGTGGTGTCGCCTGTTCATTCTGGCCGAATAAACAAAAGCTGCCGGCGCTCCGCGCGGACTTCTTGGATCTGCGCTGGACCCCCCTCCCTGGCGCGCGGAGCGCGCCAGGGGCGGCGCGGGAGGCGCCGCCAGGAGGGGGGGGGGAGGCCCAGCGCAGATCCAAGACATCCGCGCGGACTGCCAAAAGTTCATGCTTCTGCCGTTTTTCCTCCTTCAAGCGACGCGAGGGGGCCCAGGGCCGACGAGTGGCCGCAGGCCCTCCAGCGGGGACTCCACGATAACGGGTACTTTGGCCAGCGGCCCGGCGAGCCCCAGCCTCCCCGATGTGGGCAGCGCTGCAGTGCCAGAAAGAGCCCCCCAAGAAATGTCAACTTCCGGCCACTTTCCCGTTGCGGTGCCCGTTGAGTGGCAATTACTGACCACCAGCATCAGCATCAGCATCAGCATCAGCATCAGCATCAGCATCAGCATCAGCATCAGCATCATCATCAGCATCAACAGCAGCAGCATCAACATCATCATCAGCATCATCATCAGCAGCATCAGCATCAGCATCAGCATCATCATTCTCATCACCACCACCATCATCAGCATCAGCATCATCATCATCATCAGCAGCAGCAGCATCATCAGCATCATCATCATCATCCTCATCACCACCACCACCATCATCATCATCATCATCATCATCATCATCATCATCATCATCATCATCGTCAGAATCAGCATCATCAGCATCATCATCAGCATCATCATCAGCATCATCATCAGCAGCATCAGCATCAGCATCAGCATCAGCACCATCATCAGCCTCATCACCACCACCATCATCATCATCATCGTCAGCATCAGCATCATCAGCATCATCATCAGCATCATCATAGTCATCATCATCAACATCATCATCATCATCACCATCATCATCATCATCAAGAATCAGCATCATCATCATCACCACCACCATCACCATCATCATCAGCATCATCATCATCATCATCATCATCATCATCACCACCATCACCATCACCATCACCATCACCACCACCATCACCATCACCATCACCATCACCATCACCATCACCATCACCATCACCGTCACCGTCATCATCATCATCATCATCATCATCATCATCATCATCATCATCATCATCATCATCATCATCATAATCATCATCATCATCATACTCATCATCATCATCATCATCATCATCATCATCATCACCACCACCACCAGCAACATCATCAGCATCATCATCAACAACAGCTGGCAACTTCCGTGAGTGAGCACACCCGCTGTGGTGCCCGCCGAGTGGCCGCAGACCCAGGGCCGCCTGCCTCCCTCATTATCAAACCAAGGTGCGCCCGAGAGCGACTGCCCCTGACCCAGGCGCCCCAGGGGGACGGGGGGCACTTTCTCGCCGCCGAGATGGGCAGAACATGCCACCAGTAGCTGGGTGGGAAGAGGAGGAGGAGGAGGAGGAGGAGGAGGAGGAGGAGGGAGGAGGAGGAGGAGAAGAGGAGGGAGGAGAGGAGGAGGAGGGGTCATAGCATGAGCACAGTGGAATGAGGGGAGGAGGGGAGGAGGAAGGCAGGGAGGATGGAGGAGGGAGGGGAGAGGGAGGAGGGGTAGAGGAAGGAGGGATGAGGAGGAGGAAGAGGAGGAGGAGGGGGAGAGGAGGAGGAGGGAAAGAGGAAAGGAGGAGGGGGAGCAGGAGGAGGAGGAGGATTGAGGGAGGGGAGGGAGGAGAAGGGAGGAGGGGAGGAGGAGGAGGAGGAGGCCCAGGGCCCGGGGAGTCCTCCACCTGCGACCAGAAAGAGCTGCAGCCGCGCGGCGCCGGCAGCGGGGAGAGGGCGCCCCGCCGCCACCGAGCGTGGGGGGGGTGTGCGGGGCCCCTGGCAGGCAGGCCTCCGACGCCCTGCAGGCATTTCTCCTCCTCCCCCTTCTCCTCCTCCTCCTCCGCCTCCTCCTCCTCCTTCTCTCCTCTCCCTCTCTATCTCCTCATCACCATTTCTCCTCCTCCTCCTTCCTCCTCCTGCTCCCTCCTCCTCCTCCTCCTCCTCCTCCCTCCTCCTCCTCATCATATCATCATCATCATCATCATCATCATCATCATCATCATCTCATCATCATCATCATCATCTCATCATCATCATCATCATCAATCATCATCATCACCCATCACCACCACCACCACCACCACCACCCTCATCATCATCATCATCATCATCATCAATCATCATCAGCAGCAGCAGCATCATCATCATCATCATCATCCTCATCATCATCATCATCATCATCATCTTCATCATCATCATCATCACATCATCATCATCATCATCTCATCATCATCATCATCATCATCATCATCATCATCAGCATCATCATCATCATCATCATCATCATCAGCATCAGCATCAGCATCAGCATCAGCATCATCATCATCATCATCATCATCATCATCATCATCATCACCATCATCATCATCATCATCATCATT